CGGAGTGGTTATGCGAGTGCGGGATCTCCCTGGAGACCATGGATCGATCCCAGCTTCTCGAACACATTTACGAACCCCTCCCGTGGGCTAAGACGACGGCCGATGAGCGTCGGGACATTAGTTCCACATTTGGAAACTAGGTTGACTTCTTTCAAAAATGAAGTTGTTCCTTTGCTTCCAGATTTGCTATGCCCCTATGATGAACACTAGATGAAGGAGTTTGGGAAAGATTGTCTGAGTGAGTGTGAGAGATGCAACACTCAATGGGTATATGTTTTTAAACATTTTAATTATCTTATATGCCATGTTCCATCAATCTAGTGGCTCCATCATAAACGAAAAATAGGTTCCGCGCTGACAATGGATTTGTATTCCACCATGCTAATAAGCATAGAACAACACCGTCCCTCTCTACTAAAACAATTTTCAGATTCTGCATCTCCTCGGAAAAAAAAGGAAATTCAGAATTTGTATGGGTCAGGACTCAGGACAAGGATAACTGTATGGTAATCACAAACTTCTGTACTTTAGTGGCATGCGGCCAATGGAAAAGATAAAAGAATGCTAAAGCGTCTTTTAAAACATCCTGGTACTATGACAAAAATGATTTATAATGGCAATACGCAAAAGTGCTTCAGTAGCGGGAATCTCACAACCCGTTACTAAAAATGGTCCAATCCGATGGACTGTAATTGAAAATAGAGGGCACCACGTTGTGGCACATTCAGTAGCAGGCTCGCAAGTGGCCCGCCACTGACTTGCGCTCCCCCCCCCCCTATAAATATGGCATGGTGGGGGGCCAAAATTTCACAAGTCTGTTTTCTTGCAAAGTCTTAAGACAAGACGCAGGGTGATGCCAATGCTGTGATCTCTTTCCTCGACATGAGGGGTAGTTAGGGTTGCCTCTCCTTTCCATGTGTCTCTGTTTTCTCGCAAGGTCTCACATTTGTCGAAACATGTTCCTCAAGTTCCCGTTTTCAATTCAAATTCACATGCTCTCTCTCTTCCTCTCTTATATGCTTCAATGTAATGGTCACATGAGCCGCCCCACGTGATTGTGATTGGTATGATGTAATTACCACGGTGAATCCTATTGCTATGTGATGAACAATTAGCTTATGATCAGGTCATGATGTTGGATTAGAATTTATAGACGTATATTCTTGTCCGATTCATTAGTCCACTCATTTGCTAGTTTAGATGTCTCAGCAAGGTTTTTTTGTGCATAACCCCGAAAGTGGCTATGTCTGCAATCCTGTAAATGTTTGAATCTAAGTTCGGCCTAGAAAAAGACAAAGTAAAAACAAATCAAAAGGCGAATAGTGTCACAAAAGATAAAAACACAAAGACAAAATTCCAAACACTATTTTTTTTCCAAACACTATTATTAATAGTTAGATTGGCTTTATTCTCTATGTGTAGTTTGAATTTGGATCTAAAATTCATGTCTAACTACGTTTGCATTGTAGTAGATGGTAGATCCTGAACGAAATCACCAAACCTGAGATAGTCAGCACCAAATAGAGCTCCAGGGCTTTTAAATTCGTTCACACATCAGTTCAACCAATATAGAGCAACAACCACAGGATATAACAACCTCCCACAGCATGACACAACCATAAACCAAGGAGATCAAAGGGGGGCCGAATGTCGAAACTATAGCGATTACGGTACGTAGGCAGCATACGGTCGATCTCCCAGAATTTACAGGGTGACGGATATCTACCACAGGAAACGCAGCCCATCAGGCACGAGATGCTACGAGCATGTATGTGTAGCACTTCAGTTCATTTCCACACACACCCTAAAGCAACCATCATTTGATTAGACCCACTTGTCATCGACAACTCTTGCTGGGTGGTTCAGTCCCCTGCTAGTTCAGTGTGTCTTCTGGAGTCGCCGCCGGAGAAGCTAGAGTCACCTCCTGCTTGGTGGTCACTGTCAGAGAAGCTCCAGTTCCTGCCGGTGAGTCTGGCAGAGTGTCATCGCCTGGATTCATCGACTGAGATGCCTTGGCTTCAGCGGATGGTGCTGCGCCTCCATCAACTGCTGCCGGTCGATCACGATTGCACTTCTTTAAGTGCATTCCACAGATCAGTTCGGCATGCTCTGTATAGTTCTTCCTCACATAGTTCTCCATGCACTTGTTGTAGGAGAAGTCTGTATGGGTACCATCCGATGACACCACGTAGAAGCACCGACTTTTCTGGAAAACGTGGTGCTTGTTGACCTGCCAAACATCACACACCATGAGCCAAATAAATATCTTGCATGTTTTAGTTATGAGATGCATCACACATTAGATATAGAAGGGGAAGTGGATTTCAACACATCTCTTTGCAGGTGATTGTATGCTGAATAACACTCGTTTGACTTTGTAGTTTGTACTGTGCTGGATAACGCTATGCTGGCTGAACTGTACCAATGGTGATACTGTGCTAAATGCTAATTGGCCAACTAGTAGTTCACCAACATGGAAAGCAATTTATACCAATGGTGACGTGTAGAAACCCTAGCCTATGGGGATGGCTTAATGCAAACTATTGAGAATGGGCAATCAGCTAGTGGTGCTAGAAACACTGTCAGGTGGTCGTTAATTTGTGGCAAGCGGGGCAGTGGAGTCAGCAGGTGGCCATGTTTTTTAGAGATCCTCAAGGTGTTATCATCTTCAAAATACAGCTAAAGGTGTTTCACCTACATAAATACTCCCTCCGTTCCTAAATATTTGTCTTTCTAGAGATTTCAAATGGTCACCACATACGGATGTATATAAACATATTTTAGAGTGTAGATTCACTCATTTTACTCCGTATGTAGTCACCATTTGAAATCTCTAGAAAGACAAATATTTATAAACGGAGGGAGTATAATAAAGATATACTCTCTTCATCCGGAAATACTTGTCATCAAAATGGATAAAAAGAAATGTATCTAAAATTAAAATACATCTAGATGTCTGGAAATACTTGTCATCAAAATGAATAAAAAGAGATGTATCTAAAATTAAAATACATCTAGATACGACCCCTTTTATCTATTTTGATGACAAGTATTTCCGGACGTAGGGAGTACAAGGTAAAAGGCAGCACAAGAATCCATACCATTATATGATCAATTTCACCAGGCACCTTCTTTTCCTTTTCAGGGTGGTGTTCCAGAACTTTTTCTATGACAAACTTTTCATCCTCCAGGGGAAGTCTCACACCATCACTGCAAGATTTAAGATAACAAAATAACTGTTTTGCATTCCGTGAAACACACAAAGCAAACAAGTAAGACAAATCGCGAGATAATTTACCTTGATTTGCGCAAGATCTTTCTGACCATTGTTACAACGGGTTCAATTTCTTGCAGAGCCTTTTTCGCCTCGGCTGGTAGCTCGTACCGCGGTCTTGGTGGCCTCTCAACAGGTCTCATTGGGAGCCTGCCTGGATTGCCTCTATTGTCCCTCCGGTTTTCTTTGGCGCCCGATCCATCCGATTTCCAGCCGTTGAGGCGCCTGAAGCACTGGTCTTCCATTTATCAGCACTCGAGCCGTCGTCTTGAGCAGAAGTCCAACCATCCCAAGAATCTGGCTGCTTTGCATCAGAAATTTTCTCGTGTCCCTGGGAAATCGGAGCAGCACTCCATTCCGCATCACGGTTGGCGTCGGCATCGGCCTGGAAACCACTTTCCTCTGCTGCATGACCTTCTTCGGAATCGGAGTGTTCGGCGTCGGCGTCCTGGACAGGCTTACGTTTCTTAGATCCGAGCTCCATTGGGCTGCAAGGCTAAGGAAAGAAATGGATTCGGATTTTGTGAGCTCAGCGATGATGTTGATCAAGAATTTCTCAAAATTGCAAGAGAAGATCCAAACCTGGATCCAATTGGAAGATGATACGACACTCGGAAGGCTGGGTTCTTTCTTATAGAGAATTGATGAGGCACTTACACAGTCACCGAGCCGCCCATGGCAATGTGAACGCAAAGCAGTTTTGCTTTAAAATATCAGTTTTGCTAAAACACATCTAGATGTGCCATAAGTATTGCACATCTAAGTCCTATGTCATTGATCTTACGTTGAGATTTGTATGGATTTTTTTTCCTTTTTCTCTTTATGCTTGATTCACTCACTTAGATGTGCAATAACTATAGCACATCTAGATGTGCCCTAGACACATCCTTAAAATATCTTTTCGAGATTAGTGAGGCATTTTTTGAATTGGATTTTTTTTATTTTCAGAAATTTTCAAGGTTAATTGACAATGCTTCAACTAATATATATGACCGCATAGCCCATAATTTTCAACAGGGCGGTGGCCGCGGGCGGCCATGCCCATTGGTGCTTCTGTTTTGCGCGTCGCATGTCGGAGGCCTTGGATACCACCACACGCCGCACGAAGGAGGGGCAGTACATGTACAGGGCCGAGGGCCACCAGGTTGTGTGTCGTACGTCACGCTAGGAGAGCATCGATGGCTGTCGGCTCGCCTTTCATCTTCACGGTGTGCCGTAAGGGGTCGGTCGGGAGGAGCGGCGCCGTCAATGGATTTGAGAGAGTAGTAAACTGGGGTAGGAAAAAAAATGGACACAACGAAGTACCATGACAGTGAGCGGATAAGGGTAAGCGAGCATGCGCTCGACCGCTCGATTGTGATGTCCAGCAGGAACGATTGAAAAATTGACGTGGCAATAACTTGTTCCGTGATTCGTGCTACGAAATCGTACAGTATAAATAATGTTGGATTTTTAGCTTTTCCGAAATAAAACGTCAACCAAGAGGTAATATATTTTTTTCATACAGCATACTTTGACATGTATCTAACTTTTTTTTTGAAGTGGATGTATCTAATTTTTTTGGGATAATTCAAAACCAAAATTTGAAAGAGAAACGGGGGAGTGAGCCAGTGAGGCAGTGAGTCGAATGGGCTCATGGGCCTACCGCTTTGGTGAGTGAGTACTTCCCTTTTCTGCCTCAAAACAAAAAAGAATACTTCCCTTTGACGGTCGCCTTTAAGGATTTCAGAAGGAAAATAAGGATTCTCGCAAAAAAAAAAGGATTTCAGAAGGAAAGGCGGGGAGTCCAACCTAGGATTCTCGCGGCGGCGGCGGCGATCCGGCGAGTGGACTTGACGGGGACGATCCGGCGAGGTGAGGTGAGCCGACAAAGCCGAGAGGCATCCATCCGTTCCATCTCTCCACCCTCGCGGTCGTTTGATCCTTCCGTTGCTTCGCAGCGCCGACGACGCGCGCCACCTACTCGACAGAATGCCTCCTAGCGGGAAGGAGCGCAAGAGTGCGCCGGCGGTGACCGCCACCGGCCACATCAGCGACCTCCCCGACCAGACGCTCCACCATGTGCTCTCCTTCCTCCCGGTGCAGGTGGCCGCGCAGACGTGCGTGCTCGCCCGGCGCTGGCGACACCTTTGGAAGTCCACTACGGGCCTGCGCATCGTCGGCCTCCAAGTTCAAGACCTCCGGAAGTTCATGAACCATCTGCTGGTCCTGCGTGGGCGCACCCACCTAGACACTGTTGAGATCAAATTCGATCGTTATGATGATGATGATGATGATGATGATGATGTGCGCTATGTGAACCTATGGACCCGTTTTGCCGTGATGTGGAAAGTTCGGGTGCTCACCCTTCATATCCTCATTGGTAACATTGTCTCTCAGCATCTGGTAACATTGGACCTTCATTCTGTAGCCCTACCAAAGGCCTTTCTTGATTTTGCTAGATGCCCACAATTGGTGAATCTGAAGATAGATGATTGCTTCATCAATGTCAATAAGATATCTTCCTGTTCCCTGAAGCATTTGAGCATCACTGGTTGTCGATCTGATTTGGATTTCCGAGTCCGTGTTTCTGCTCCAGGCCTTGTCTCTCTGGAACTAGAAGACTTTATTGGTATAACCCCTTTGCTTGAAGACATGGCATTACTGGAAGCCGCATGTGTGAATCTTAGTGATAGATGCAAAGATGTCTGCTTGAATTATGACTCTGGTGTTTTCTGTGGAGCTAAGGATAATACATGTAAGAATTGTGTTCCTATCAGTGATAATTGCAGCAGTGATTGTGTGCTTCTGGGTGGTATCTCACGTGCTAAACACCTCAAGTTGATATCTGAAATTGGAAAGGTATGCCACTCGTCTATTTTGTGTTGCACTATCTACATACTTGACTATACTGTTTTTTTTTCCAGCCCATTTTCACAAGAGATCTGAAACACTGCCCTAAATTTAGCAAGTTAAAGACTTTATTACTTAACGAGTACTGGTGTGAGGCTCCTGACTTGGATCCACTAGCTTGCATTATGAAAAACTCACCAGTTCTAGAGAAGCTCACTCTTCAACTCTTTTCCAAGGTATAAATCTTCTAAATGGACAATTGCTTCAGTGTTAAGAGTTATAATCAGCTGTCCATCTTGGTTATTTTTTTTTCTTACCACAGGGACCAAATCATGAAGTGGAAATGAAAGGCCATAGGGACCAAATCATGAAATGGAAATGAAAGGAAGCTACAGGTCAATGGAGGGACCCTCTGCAATATCAGAGCACCTTAAAATAGTTGAAGTCAAGTGTAATGTGGTTGACAAGAGAATTCTCAAAGTTTTGAGGTTCCTGTCTGCACTTAACATGCGTAAGCTAACTAGTTTACATACTCTCTGTATACTGAAATTACCTTTCATATGTGCGAAAAAAAACGTAAGAAAGCAGGCAGCAGATAAGAAACTCGTGAAGAACAGTTTTGTAGGGGTTCCAAATTGTTTGGTCAGGCGTAGAAAAAGGAACCAGTATAATTCATTATGTCAGCACGAAGGATGTGTAGTTTAACCGTTTTGCGGAAACAGCAAGTGTAACCAATATGTGGACTTGTTGATTGGCACTATCTTCGGAAGTTGACTCAAATTATTTGCTACTTCCATAGATCTTCGGAAGTTGACTCAAATTATTTGCTACTTCCATAGACTTGCGTGGGAGCCATTACAATTTGCATTACATTTTCTTCAAAAATATGTATATAGTGTATGCCATGATTGCTTATTTCAAATTTCATTTGCCATGAAATTGCTTTTGACATTTCCTGCATTCTCGTTTGGAAGCAGTTTAGCTAGATATTTCGTATTAGATTATTAATCAGAAATGGCTGTATAAAATATAATGTAACTGAGACAGTGAATCTCCATTATACATTCATACTTACTGAACTATGTTCCAGTAGCTTCGTATTCTTTGTTGAGTAACTGAGACTATTTTTTTTATTAATTAATGCAATACATCAGACTCTTACATATTTGTTTTTCATTTCTGTACAGGATTCAGTTTCCAGTAAGGGTGAGAAGATCCGGGTTGTTGTCGATCTGCCATGCCTCGACCATTAGTACACACATATAAGCATCTTATGTCAATTCTACTCAGAGGAATGGTGTACAATCTGTAGTATATCACTTATGAACTCTAGGCCATCTAGCTGGACTTGGTTTTATGGTATCTTGTAGTTTCTGTTACACCCTAAGCGTTTCCTTTTTGGCTTGGACCCATGACTGTTGTGTTATGACGCGATCCTTGTATTTTGTCTCCTGAACTATGACATGGATGTTTGGGAAAGTGGCGCAAGAGGTGTAGAGTTGCGTATATTGCACTTTTCGTTTCACTGCTGTTGATCTATTTTTCTGAAGTTGATATAGGCAGAGAAAACCGAAAATGAGCTGCAGCTTTGAACTTATGTTACGAGCAATGGGAGGGATACCCAGCAGTTGCTACTCTGAGTGATCTCCGCCACCCATTTTCTCATCCATATCTGCTGCTGGCACCTATGGGAGCACGGGAATGGCATGGTCTTCAACGGCAAGACGCTAACCTATGGCAGCAACATCTCCTGCACAAGTTGCAGGGCGATGCCAATGCTTGTATCTCTTGCCACGACATGGGTTTCTTGCGTGGTCTTGAGATTTGTAGAAACATCTTGATCAAGTTGCCTTCTGAGTACAAGTTCAGATGGAGAATTCTTCCTTGATGAACATTCTGAACAAAAGTCGCATGCTCTCTGTTTATCTCCCCCCTCTCTCATACTTCAATATAATGGTCACATGAGCCGATTCACATGATGCAATTCCTGTAAATAAACGTAAAGAAAAAATTTCAAACACTATCATAGTTTGATTGGCTTTGTTTTCTAGTATGTGTGGTTTGAAATAGGATCTAAAAATTCGTGCCTAGCTAGGTTTGCATTGTAGACTGGTAGCAGATGGTAGATTCAGAACAACCCCTGTACCAAAATCACCAAAACCTGAGACAGCAGCAAGTAGAGCTCCCACAAATCAGTTCAGCCAATATAAAGCAGCATTAACCACAGGATATGACAACCAGAAACCAAGGAGATCGAAGGACGGTTGATCTAGCAGAACTTATAAGGTTCCCCTGGAAGACGGATAGCATACGATAGGAAACACGATCCATCAAGTCTAAAGATGGCTACTGCCAACCCCTCTTCATAACATGAAGCAAGTCAGGGCAAGCAGAAAGGTTTTACCACGAGATGCTACAAGCATGTACGTGCAGCACTTCAGTTCAGTTCACCCTAAGCAATCATCATTAGATCCACTTGTCATCAACAGCTCCTGCTGGACGCTTCAGCCTCCTGCTGGGTAAGTGTGTCTTCTCATCTTCTTGAGTCGCCACCGGAGAAGCTGGAGTTCCTGCCGGTGGGCCTGGCAGAGTGGCCTTGCCTGGAGTCGACTGAAATGCCTTGGCTTCAGTGACTGGTGGTGCCGCGCCTCCATCAACTGCTGCTGGTCGATCACGATTGCACTTCTTGAAGTGCATCCTGCAGATCAGTTCAGCGTGCTCCGTGTACTTCTTCCTCACATAGTTATCCATGCACTTGTTGTAGGAGAAGTCTGTGTGGGTCCCATCTGATGACACCACGTAGAAGCACCGACTTTCCTGGAAAATGTGGTGCTTGTTAACCTGCCAGATATCACACCATGAGCCAAATTAATATCTTGCATATATTATTTATGATGTCTAACAGATTAGATATAAAAGGAAAAAACGGATTTCCACATCTGCTCTTCGCAGGTTGTATGGTGTTTATGAAGGCAGATGCGTGGAGTGCCACTCGTTTAAATACAATCTTCACTTTGTACTCCCTCCGTTTGGAATTACTTGTCTTGGATATGGATGTATCTAGAACTAAAATACGTCTAGATACATCCATTTCTGCGACAAGTAATTTCGAACGAAGGGAGTAGTTCGTACAGTGCTGGATCGGGTCAACGTGCCAATAAGAAGAAAATTTAATTTATTTTATCCACAACTGTCCAGATGCTTTGAAGGTTCATGTTCAGAGTGCTGTGCTGTGCCCTCCTCCCCCACGGAGAAACACTTGGGTCTGCCTACTGTGTCGCATTTTGAACACATTTGTGGAACGGGCCAGACCAAGGGTGCAGGGATGGTGTGAGAAGAAACTATCTTGATGTTAGCATGCCACATCCAAGCTCGGAGCTGCAGGTTTTTTTGGCATGGCTGGGCGAAAAGTCCGGTTTATTCTCGGTACTGTCAGCCTACAGAGAACTAGCTGTAGGAGGTTCAGATGTTTTAAAAGAGGTGTGGAAGTGGAACTAGCTGTAGGTAGTTCAGATGTTTTGGAAGGCCTTGTGTTTTAAAAGAGATGTTTTAAAAGAGGTGTATAAGTGGAAGGCCTTGTGGCATATACTCCCCTGTTTTGGCAAGTTGAATACAGAACACATTCAGGAGGAGTTAAGCTTCTGCCCTTTATGTGGCCGTATGGAGGAGTCACTAGATCATGGCTTATTGAAGTGTGAGCATGTCCCTTTTCTGGTGTGCTGCGCAGGAGTTCTTCGGAATCGATATGCCAGTTTTACACCCGGAACTTGGACGCAGGGTTTTACAGTCTTCAGAATAAAGGTAAAGGTGCTTAACCTAAATAGAAAAGATATAGAAGGCAAAAGGTAGCACAAGAATTCATACCATTATATGATCAATTCCACCAGACACCTTCTTTTCCTTTTCTGGGTGGTGCTCCGGAACTTTCTCTATCATAAACTTTTCATCCTCCAGGGGAAGTCTTACGCCATCACTGCAAAATTTAAGATACGGAATATATTTAAGATGGTATGAACAAAATAACTGTTTTGTATACCATGAAACACACAAAGCAAATCGTGAAATAATTTACCAAGATTCACGGAAGATCTTTCTGACCATTGTTACAATGGGTTCAATTTCTCGTAGAACCTTTTTTGCCTCAGCTGGTAGCTTATACTGTGGCCTTTGAGGCCTCTCAAAAGGTCTTGTTGGGAGCCTGCCTGGATTATCTCCTTGGTCCCTCCGGTTTTCTTTGCCATCCCATCCATCCGATGGAGCAGCACCCCGCACATTATCTGACGGTGAAGCAGCCACGTTGCCCCAGAACTCCTGCTGTGCAGTACAAGTCTGAACCTTCGCTGCCCCACTCGAAGCATTCCCTGCATCCACAGGCTCCACAGTACAAATTTTAGCTGCCCCACTTTCCCTGGAATCATTCTTTCCATCCATATGATCTGCATTATAAGTTTGAGCTTTCGCGGACGCACTCCCCCAGGTGTCATTCTGTGCATTCATATGCTCTGCAGTAGAATTCTGAGCCTTAGCTGTCACAGTACCCCATGTATCATCTTGTGCATCAACGTTCTCCACTGTTGGGCCTCCCCAGTTACGAGAATCATTCCCACCACGTGCATTTTGTTCCCAGCTTGCATTCATCATTGTGCCATTTTCCCATGAGCTGCCCCTATCAGTAATTTGCTGTTCAGGATTATCTTCAAAAGTGGGCATACCATGGGTCCCATCCCGTTCCAGTGACAAGCAAATATCATCCATCGTGTTGTCTTCAACAAGGTAGTCCACATCGTCCAAGAATGTGTACGCAGCCTTTTCTTGGTCGGTCCTCGCGATGGCCAGGAAATCATACAGACCGTCACCATACTCCTTGTTGCTTTTCAGCTGCAATGGTCAAATCTATTAGATATAATAAAACCACAATACGGGCCAAAGATAGAGAAATAGGCTAGAAACTCCCACAAAAAGAACGAAACATCCAGCCATTGATTTCTTAGTACATCACAACCGTTAGATTTACATAACCACGCCAAAACAGATTGTAACCATTAGATCTACATAATCGTACCTAAACAGAACGCATCCATTAGATCTTCATAATCTATCTTCTATTATATATTAATGAAACGAAAGAAAACGAACAGACAAGATTTAAAAGCATGGAAGGAAGGCTGAGATTTATAAAAATCTTGGAACCTTTACGCTGGAAGGTTTGTCACAAGTCAAGTTGAAAGTTGTGGTTGGATTGCAATAGGAAAGATCCTCAAGAACTATCTGAGTTACAAACTTACAATTACATCAATACATAAATAAAACTATGTGCTGCAAAATATTTGCAGATTAAAATAATGGCTTTGCTTTGACGTTAGGTACACACAAATTCAGAACAACATAGCTCATCGCCGTGGACATGATCATGCCATGGGGATAGAAGCGACAATGCATGTGTACTCGACATTCTCTAGCATTCATCAGTGGCCCATCAATTATTGAAGAGTGCTGCCTCAGCAACAAGCCCTCAGGTTATTAGTATGCATCAACCATGAGTCAGATAAGAGAAGAATACAAACACTCAGCGACACAAGGACTCACTACGGAATTAGTAATGTAGTACTCCCTCCGTTCCAAAATAAGTGTCGTTGGCAAAGCTGAAAGCAACAGAATTCTTATACGTAGAAGAATTCTGTTGCTTTCAGCTTTTGCCTCATATATGAGCACAACCCAATCTTATTGAAAGAAGTGTCAGTTAAACGAAGCACCTACTGACATGCATGCTGCAAAAGTGAAAACAGAGCATTTGCTAGCCTATCGAATTCTCTCCAATTATTTGCACTCTGACCTCACAGTGCCAAATATAATGATCCAAACATTTGAATTGATGAACTTGTTTTTATTTAAGTGGTCAGTTTTTGGCGTTGCATATTGAGGAAGTTCTAGCACCCTTTTCTAGTTCTGTTAATATACACCAATACTTACGTTGCTTCAGATGGAGAAACAACAATTCAACTAATAGGAATAAGTTATGCATGCATATAAGCATATGGAGGCATGCCATTGCAGTAAACAAAAAACACAAGTGCAATAGGAGAAGTGCCAAAATGCTGGTGGAGAAAGGGTCACAGTCATCTATGAGCAATCAATCGTTTAGATTTAGTTTTACAATTTCACAAGAAAATGTTGTGGGAAAGGAAAACACCGAAAGATGAGGGTGGAAGAGGAAAAACTAGGTATTTAGCTACACCATTTATAAACATTTATA